TTTAGCTATTGTGCATAATGCTGCAATGAGCATTGGCATAGAAGTATCTGTTTGCATCTCTGTTTTCAATTCTTTGGGGTATGTACCCAGGAGTGGAATTGCTGGGCCATTCTCTGTTGACCTTTTAGCGGAACCGTCACACTTTTTCACAGCAGTTACACCATTTCACATTCCCACCAACATTGCACAAGGGTTCCAATTTCTCTACATCATCACCCACATTTGTTATTTTCCGCTGTTTTGATTATAGCCATCCTAGTGGGTGTGAGGTAGTATCTCACTGCGGTTTAATTTGCATTTCCCTAATGACTAATTGCAGTAAGCATCTTTTCATGTGCTCGCTGGCCATTTGAATATCTTCTTTGAAGAAATGTCTATTCAAGTTCTTTACACACCTTTTAATTGGACGTTTATCTTTTAGTTGTTGAATTGTAAGAGTTCCTCATATGTCCTAGATGTCAAACCCATATGATTTGCAAATATTTTCTCCCATTCCGTACATTGCCTTTTCTCTTTCCTGATAATGTCCTCTGATAGCCAAATGTTTCTCATTGTGATGAAGCCCAGCTGATCAATTTTTACTTTTGTTGCTCGTGCTTTGGTGTCACATTATTTTACATTTATTTGCAAAAGCCCCTCCAATTCCTGTGTGGATGACAGATGAGTGGGGCCTAGGTGGCTGCAGGAAGACCATGGAGGATACTGATATAGCCACCCACTGGAGAGAGGATGGAGGCTGGGATGAGGGTGGGGAAGGTGGACGGAGAGAGAAATGGAAGGTTAGAGAGCGATTGGGGGTCGATTTAGAGGCTCTGGGGCAATTCAGGGAAAACTTGCAGGTTTCCAGCGTGGGCGCTTGAATGGTTGGTCCGTGAACAGAGGGAGGCAGGACTAAGAGGGCAGATCAGGAGTTCCACATGCAAGATGACCAGTATGCCATCATCCTTGGTCTGCTCCCATCCCTCCCCCACCCCCATTTCACAGATGGGGAAAGTGAGGCCTAAGGAAGTACAGTGGTCCCTCCAGGGGCCCCCATCATACCCTAGCCAGCAGGGAGTGAAACTATAGGAGCCCTGCCACCAGCCAGAGCACGCCCTCTGCGTGGGGTCACAGGCTCTGGCCTCAGAGAGCTATTTTTCAGCTGGAAGAGGGTGGGGTTTAAGGCCAGATGAGCTTGTCCTGGGCTGGTAGCCAGTTCACAGCCCCCAGAGAACAGAACAGCTCTGTTCCATGAGGGCTGCCTGTACCCTGACCCCGGCCAGCTGTCCTGTCTGGGTCTGATGTGGGCAACTTGAGGGTACAAGGGTGTGGGGTGCCTACCTCAAGATGCTGACAAGATGGAGGCTCCTGGATTTGGCATTAATTAGAGTCAGGTCCAGATTCTGAGGCTCCCCTTCTCCATCCCTTCCCTTGCCATGTGGCCTTGGGCAAGCCTCCGCCCCTCTTCGGGCTCCAGCCTTTTCAAATGTAAAATGGGGACATCCTAAGGTATGACTCTTGGGCACTTCAAAGTTGCAGTAAATGTTGGAAGAGGAAATGGATGGAAGAAAAAGTACTTTGAGAACTGTAAAGTGCCCACACTTCTATTTGGATCCAGTCCTACTTGTGCTCCATGCCACTGCCCAGGGGACATCTAAGGCTTTGCTCCTTCACAAGACGGCCACCCCTCTGGAGAAGAAAAAGGTCTGGTGTGGAGCTCAGGGATCCAGAGCTCTTACTATCCTGGCCCAGCAGGCTTGACCAACCCATTGAACAGATGGGGAAAACTGAGGGGCAGCCATCTGCTCAGAGTCACCAGGCTGGTGAGCCTGGATTCAAAGGTAGGGCTCTTTGAGTCCAAAGATGAAAACTATCCTTATCCATTCAATGTCCCCATTGGACGGGTAGGGTAAGCTGAGAGCCAGAGAGGGGAAGCAACAAGCCTGGGGTCACACAGGCAGTCGGAAACAGGGCAGACGAGGCACGTGAGGCCCTGAATCCCAGGCCATGCTCCTTCTACCACCCCTTGCCCAACCCCTAGAGCTTAAAACGGGGCTATCACAATGGGATATTCATAGTTACTGGCAGAGTCGGGGTTCCTTGTCAGCCCATATTCCTCCCACCAGAACAGTCTGCAAACTTTCTCAAAAATTCCACAGACACTCTACCCCCACATACTCTTTTTACAAACTTTTATTTATTGATTTGAGAGAGACATCAATCTGTGTTCCACTTATTTAAGCATTCATTGGTTGGTTCTTGTTTGTGCCCTGACCAGGGATTGAACCTTGGCATATTGGGACGGCGCTCTAACCAGCTGAGCTACCCGTCCAGGCTCAGAGCAGCCTCTCAGGGGCTGAGGCTTTACTGACGCAGAGCATTGTTGTCACTAGTGGGGAATATAGAGGGAGGTCCCCTGGGCCCCCACCATGGGCAGGTTAGGGCAAAAGTCAATAAACCAGGTGTCTTTGGACTTCAAGAGACAACTGGGGATCCAGAAAACTAATTAGGAAATCTATACGATTCCAAGAGTGAAAAGCTCTTTGGGAATTTACTGGTGGCCTCTGGAGAAATTTATTCCTTAATTTGTCGGTAATGGAAGCAGGGACTGGCTGGGCTGATACCTAATTATAATACTAGATACCATTTAATGAGCACTTACTATTTTCCAGGCACCTTTCTAAGGGCTTTCCGCATATTAACTCATTTAATGCCTACAGCGAGCCTCTGAGGTCTGATTATTCTCGTTTTCCAGTGAGGGAAGCAAGGCTCCGAGAGGTAGCAAAACTTGGCCACGATTCACAGCTTGTGAGTGGTTGAGCCTGGGCAGGAACCTGGTCCGTCCAACTCCAGAGCCGTGTGACTGACCACTGGACCACACCGCCATGTGTGCTACAGGAGACCGGATATGAGTGCTGCCCAAAGGACCACGCCCAGCCCAGCCAAGGCCCCTGGGGACAGGGCAGTGGCCAGGCACAGCAGGACTGCAGAAGGGACAAAGCCTATGGCCACTGCAGACCCAGCAACCGGCCTAGGCTTGTCCACGGGTGAGTTAGAAGCATCAGTTGTATCAAGTCTCAGCTCTGCCACTCGCTGGGTGTCACTGGGCAGGCCCCCCACATCTCTCTGAGTCTCCGTTTCCTCCTTATTAAAATGGGGTGAAGTTAGCATTGGCTTCTTAGGATTGTTGTGAAAAATTCAACAGCCCTATAAAGCTTTTAAAGGGCTTAGCAGTGAAATAAGTCAGAGAAAGGCAAGTATCACATGATCTCACTCATATGTGGAATCTAAGTAACAAAATAAACTGATGAACAGAGTGGATCCAGAGACATGGAAGCATGGAACAGAGTGCGGAATCTCAGAGGGAAGGCGGGGGAGGGTGGGAGGTAATCAACCAAAGACCTTGTATGCATATATGCATGGTCCATGGACACAGACAATAGGGTGGTGAAGGCCTGTGGCCGGGAGCAGGGCGGGCTGGAAGGGGCTAATGGAGGAAAAAGGGGGACATATGTAATACTTTCAACAATAAAGAATTATTTAAAAAATAAAATAAAATGAAGGGCTTAGCAGCATGCTAGGCACAGAGAAAATGCAGATAAATGTTAGCTATTAGTGTTATTACTATTCATTCTTTTTTGTTATTATTATTACATTTCATTTCTGGACCCCCTTTTCCCCAGGGCTGATGTGAGTAAACAGGTTGTTCTTTTTGGAGACAGCAGATGCACAAGATGGCTTTGGGGACCCCCTCCCTCCCAAGGATTCTTGGATCACCCATCCCCCTCCTCAGCCCCCCTCAGCCCTCGCAGTAGCTCTAGTCTCTCCTCCGAAGTCAGTTTCTATCCTTGCACCCCAGGTACCCTGGCTCCCTGCCTGTGGTCCCCACTTGCTGGATGCTGTTGCTATGGCAACAGCATTTAAGAGCCTTCGGCCCCCCTCTGAGGTGACAGGCCTAGATGGAGATTGGCTGATCAAATGTCTCCTGCAGTCTCAGGCCTGCCTGGATGGGAGACAGGAGAGAGGAACGTAAGAATGAGAGCTGGCTTGGGGTGGGGGGTTAACTCAGCCCTCAGCCCCCTGTGTGCAGACAGCAGCCCCCATTGCTCTGTGTCGCATTACAAACACCTGAGCAGTTGGTTACAAATGCAGATTCCAGCCACCGATGGCCCCAAGGGTCTGATTTTAATGATCAGGAGGGGGAACCCCCCCCCCCCCCCGCCACCAAGGAAGCTGCCTTAGATCAGCCCTGCTGCTGGCTCAGAGGCAGACAGGCCCCAAACCACACTTGAGTCTTGGAAGGTCCTGCAGTCACTTTGGGCGTTGAGGTTTGCGTGGCTCTCTCTGCTGTGACAACTCCTGAGAAACCCAGTTTGCCTTCCTGGGCCTGCTCCAGTCCTGCCTCCCTCTCCTTCCACAGCCTCATCTGGGGGAGGACATGTGCCGCACCCTCTTCCCACAGGCAGGAAAATTCCAGGCTAGGCTGGCAGAGGCCATGCTGGTATGCGTCCTGGGCAGAGACCGGGCCCACGCTCTCTCAGGGCAGTAACATTCAGGGAAGGGTTGGCTTACTCTGGGCGGGTGGGAGGCTTACTGTCTTCTACGCTAAGATCAGAGGTGTAAAGGCCTCTGCCATTGTCCCCCATCGCTCGGCACCACCTGCCAGCGGGGACATGGCTCCTACCCTTGTCCGGTCCCTTCCACCAGCAGAACCCGGGACTCTGGGCACCACAGGCTGTGCTTAAAGACAGGTGAAGCCTTGGGGTGGGGGGTGGGGTGTGTGTCTGAGGAGACATGGGGGGGAGGGGAGAAGAGAAGACAGAGGACATCAGGGAGTCGAGGGTTCTCTCTGGAGGGCAAGGACCGGGCTGTGGGGATCCTTGAATGTGAGGGCTGTGGCGGTTGGAGTTGCCGAGTGAGATGGAGAGCAGAGATGCAGCAGGCATCCCCCCTCCCCTTCTCCCTCCCCCTCTCCCCTACCTGGGACACTAACTGGTCTCCGGCAGGTCAACGGCCAAGGCCAATGGCACAATGAGTTGCGTGCAGTGATTTGCTTGACAGCACCCCCTTTATTCCTTTCCCAGGCTCACCCCCAGTGGTTCCCGGGGTGACTATCAAACACACATGCACCTGGATCCTTGTCTCGGGGTCTGTTCAGTGGGATCCTAAGACCAGGAGCCACTCCTGAATCTCTCACTCATGGTTCTGTATGAGGGCTGCGATGCCCCTTGTGTCCCCAGGGGAAGCTGGGTGCCCCTGACCTCCAGCTGGGCACGCGGCCTGCCTATGGCTGAGCCCTCTGGAAGGGTCTGTACTGGGGCGAGGGAGCCAATCCCACGCTCTGCTGCACCCTGCCCTGACCTCCCAGGGTCCGGACTTCTCAGTTTCCTGGTGCCGGTTCTTGGCCCCTCGTCACAGGCCACGCACACACCCAGTGCTCAGGAGCCACGGCCTGACGGGCTTGGTTCCTCAGCAACAGGCCCAGCCCGCACCCCTGGTGCCTGGTACAGGGGGTGAGGGGGCTCTGCTCCCAGCTAGAGGGAGGCAGGGGGGCTTGTCTGGGGCGAGTCCTCCAGAGACGTCCGTGAGTCTGTCCCCTCTGAGGAGGAGCTGCCCCCGGTGGGGTGGGGGACCTGCCTCTGCCTGGGGAGCCGCTGCCAGGAGAAGAGGGAGGTGAGAAACCGCTCAGGGGCAGGATCAAGGGGCTCGCGAGGGCCCTTGCCTTCACCAGCCTCTGTGGCCTGGCCGGCGTCCAGGGGCAGAGGGCCTGCCGGGAGATGTCTGTTCTGCCCCCCTCTCTCGGCCCGAGGAGGCCAGCGGGGTTTTGGTGACCGATCCAGGCCCAGGGAGTCCTGGAAGGGTGGGTCCCGCTGTCCCTTGGAAGTGACTTCTCCATTCACACCTTGGCCCTTGGCAGCGGTCCGTTGTAGTTCCAGCTGAGCCGCGTGGGCACTGGGGCCCAGTGAGCACGAACAGTGGGCCAGCGCCTTCGTCAGGAGGGTCTGGATCTCCCCGTGTCTCACCTGGGCCTCCTCCCACAGGTCCTGGCCCAGGTCCTCCCGGCTCAGCGAGGCCACCTGCAGCCCCATGGCCGTGAGCTTCTCAGCAGGGAACTCGGAGGACAGTCGTTGCAGGTAGCGGTGGAGGCGGCGCTGGCCCCCGGGGCTGGCCTTTGGATCCTTGCCCAGCCTGAGCTGGGTCATCAGGTCCTGACAGTCCATGTGGAACCAGGCCATCTGGGAGACAAGAGAGGGAGGTGGGGTTCAGGCTGGGAGTGGGGCCAGGGGGGCTCCGTGAGGACAGGATGGGCCCCTCCGAGCAGAGAGAGGACTCGGAGACCAAGCTTGGCTGGATTACATTAGTAACACGCCCCCAAATGTTAGCCCCCTCAGGTGGCCGTGATTTCCTTTGCTGATGGTGATGACAATGGTTCCCTCTCTTCCCCAGGGCACACACACCTGCCACCGGGAACAGTCCCCAGCACCCTGGGAACCTCAGGCACCCATGGGCCAGTGGGGACTTAGGCCTCCCTGGGACTCAGTTTCTCCTTCTGTGAAATGCAAGGTGTACTAGGTGATCATAAAAACCTTTCTGAGGCTGAATATTCAGGTTCTTGGGTTGCATTAGCCCCTTAGGAGTGGTACTCAGGGAGGAGTCTGGCTAACGTTATTGAGCGCAGCCTGTCTGCCAGGCTCTTTGTGTCTCCCGTTGATCGCACCCAACTGTACCAACAGCCCATTTGCCAGAGGAAGAAACTGAGGCCCAGAGACGTGTAATCCTTGGCCCAGGTCACACTGCACGTCAGGGAGGAGCTGGGATTTGAACTCAAGAGAGTATCATCCAAGCATCTCCTTGCGCAGGAGAAACTGGCCCAGGCAGCGAGACCATCAGCCAACCCAGGCCCAGCGGCCCCCTCGCTCCAGCCCCTCTGCCCCATTTTGGGGTTCTGCTGTCCCTGCTTCACCTGCAAAATGTCTGCAGGCTGCAAAGGGGCCAACACATTCCCAGCAGCTCGTGAAAAACATCATCTTTCTCTCCATTAATTTAGAAGCTGACAGCGAGCTGTTAGGCTGTGGGGATTGGAGAACCATTTTCTCCGAGGAAACCATCTTTCCGTGGATTAAGGGAACTTGTCTTTAGATAAATGGCTTCATATTCGCGGAAGCTCACGGAGCTCATGGCTGGGAAAGGGCTCCATAAATCTCCCTTAGCGGCGCAATCGTGTTATTATTATTTAGTGCCAAAGCTGCAGCACGCGGGCTCTCCGCCCAGGGCTGGGCCCGGCACTGAGCTGTCCTGTCTGTCTGTCTATCTAGGACCCCATCTTCTAGGCCGAGCTGGACAGAGATGGATAACACCTCAGAAATCATCTCGCCCCAACCCTTGTTGTACAGATTAAAATTCAGGGCCAGGGAGGAGAGGGGGCTTGCCCAGATCAAGCATCGAGAGATGGCCATGGTGGGACTTCAGGTCGGTGGACCTCATGTACGATTTCTAGTCCTGGGTCGGACTGCACGTTCCCACACACATCCACAGCCCTCCTCCTCCAGCCACCTGGCCAGCCCCCCCAGAGTTCACCAAGCCCCCTGCTGGTCTTGCTCTGGGCACGGTGGACCAACCCGGGTGCCACCTCCGGAGCTCACCTCACAGGTGGCAGACAAGAGAAGAGCAGGTGATGAAGTAACAGGATAATTTCAGATCACAAAGGGCCAGTGAAGCGATAAGTACAAGGTGATGAGAGAGAATGGGGGTTGGGGGCAGGTATGAGGAGGTCAGGAAGGGTCTCTCTGAGGAAAGGACAGTGAGCTGAGCACTGAAGAAAGATAAGAAGCCAGCCAGTCGAGGGGAAGAGCATTCCAGCTGAGGGAACAGCAAGTACGAAGCCTCAGAGCTGGAGCATGTTTGGTTTCTCCAGGGAGGGCCAATGGGGCTGAAACCGACGAGCAAGGGAGAAGGTGTGGGGTTATTCACATTCAATCTAATTCTCTCGGCAAGGAACCTGGCAAGGCTGGCACTAGAGCCAGATGATCGGGTTCGAACCTCAGCTCTGCCACTTCCTAGCTGTGTGACCCTGGGTGCTTTGACCTCTCTGTGCTCCCTTGTGCACAAAATGGGCATAATAATAGTACCGGCCTCATAGGGTTAGTGTGACCATACAACTATGTGCAAATGACTGAAACTGGGGCACATCATAAGAGCCACAGAAGCATTATTGTTACCATCGTCACTGTCATCGTCGTCGTCATCATCATTGACAAGGAGCTGAGGCCCAGAGCAGTGAGACTGTCTTTGAAGTCACACAGCCCATCTGTATATATAAAAGCCTAATCGACCGAATGACTGAACAATTGGTCTACTGGTCTCTATGACACACACTGACCACCAGGGGGCAGACGCTCAATGCAGGAGCTGGCCCCCTGGTGGTCAGTGCACTCCTATAGCGGGAGTGCTACTCAGCTGACCAACCCATCCAGGTGGCCCACCAGCCGGGGGGCAGCCACTCCCTCCCTCATTAGTCCTGCAGGTACAATCTCTGGAGAAGGGGCCAGGCACTGGCGGACGGCGCTGCCTTCACAATCCCGACAGTGCCGCTGGCCTCCTGGAAGTGGCCTTGGGTACTGCAGCTGCTTCCCCTCCCTAGACACTCCGCAAGGAAGAAAGGATATAAAAGCGGCCGCCAGGTGGCTCCTGGCAACTGGTGCGAAGGTCAGTGGGACAGATCCAGATCCTGGGCCGGCAGGGCATCCCACTGCCCGCCCAGAGGGCCAATTGTGTCCCGCCCCCCCCGCCCCCCCTCAGGACAGGCACCAGACGCAGGGCTCATGGCTGGCGAGCGCTGCTATGGCAGCCAAGCCTCTCCCAATCAGTACTGACTGGGCTTGAGCCTGCGGCAGACACAGTGGGGCTGGGATGAGTGGGAGCAGCAGGCGGCGTTGGACTGCCGGTTTCAGCCCAATCCTTGCAGGCCACACCGAGGGACCCCACCGAGGGACCCCACCTGTGCACAAATTTGTGCACCAGGCCTCTAGTACAAGCGTAAGCTGCCTCGCTCTCTAAAGTCTGTACAGCTGGGAGTAGGAGATTCCTTTGCTTTCACGGCCCACATCTGCCTCCCTTGCCTGCTGCCCCAGGGAGACAGAGAGTGGCCGTCATCCCAGAGCCCCTGGTGTGATTGACCGGAGTCCCTCCCACTGCTCTCAGAAACATCCTGTGTTCTCTGTCCCCGTGTGATGGGCAGGCCTGACAGCTGGGAGTCTGGGGTCAGGCTCTTCTCACTCTCTGTCCTCAGTGGTGAGGGGCAGCTGAGGTCACTGGGCCTGGGCCAGAGAGGTGGGTTCTTGTTCCAGCTGGGTCACAGCTCTCCCAGGCTAATCCCTGTTCCCCTAGGCCTCAGTTTCCCCATCAGAAAATGAGGAACTTGGGAGAGATTTAGAAGAGGTGAGGGCTCTAAAGTCAAATCCTGCTTGACCATCAGCCTTTTGGGGGACCTTGAGCCAGCTACTTTCCTCTTTGGGCCTCAGTTTTCTCATCTATAAAATGGAAACAATGTTGGCACCCCTCCCTCATAAAGATCTGGTGCGAATTCAGTCAGGCAAGTTTGTGAAGCACTTACAGGAGGCTCTGGCATGAGCACACAGTCAACATGTAGGCTATCCTCATAATAATCACCTAATCTTCATCACCATCATCCTGGCTTAGACGTGGCTCATTGGTTGTCATTCTCCACCTACCTCCCCACCTTTGGAGAACGTAGAGCATGTTATAGGGCATGGACACATCTATGTTCACATTCCAGCTCTTCTTTTCTCCATCTATGTGGCTTTGGGCAGGGATCTTTCCCTCTTTGGGCCTCAGTTTCCTCATCTGTAAAATGGGCTAATCAACCTTGCCACATTGGGTTGCCAAGAGATGATAGATGCAAAGTAATGGAGTTCCTCTTGCTCTCACCCCGATACTCTGTGCTTGTCCCCCACCCCCACCTGACCATGGTAGTCTTACCCTCTCCACCCTCCTGGCCAAACTCCAGGTTCCCAGCTAGGACTGAGGCCCCTGTTCTGAACATGCCACCCTCAGCCAATGGTCCCTCCCTCCTCCACTGGCGCCATCTGTGCAGGCAAGGCATGGGAGAGAGCACTATAATGGTGCCATGGGCTTGCTGTGTGATCTTGGCTAAGTGACAGCCCTTCTCTGATACTTTCTCCAAATCTGCAACAGAGGGGTGAGATAAGATCAAGGTCACCTACAGAGATCTATGTGTGGGGAGAAAGCCTGTGCTTTTGATTGGATTCTCAGAAATCCCTAGGCCCTTTCCCTAATCCCAATGTTTAAGAAGCAGGTGAGCCCTAGGTGGTTTGGCTCAATGGGTAGAGCGTCGGCCTGCGGACTGAAGGGTCCCAGGTTTGATTCCGGTCAAGGGCACATGCCCGGGTTGCAGGTTCAATCCCCAGTAGAGGGCGTGCAGGAGGCAGCCCATCCATGATTCATTGATGTTTCTATCTCTCTCTTCCTCTCCCTTCTTCTCTGAAATCAATTCAAAACAGGTATTTTTTTAAAAAGAAGAAGCAGGTGATATCTGAGGGTCACTGGGAGGTTGCCTGGGGTAGTGGGTTAAACTGGGTCAGGGACCAGCTGGACTTGGATTTAGGTGAGTGACTTGGCCTCTCAAGCTGTGCTTTCCAGCTGGAAAATGGAGGTGATGGATGATGGAACGAGCGTGCAGAGAGCCCTAGTGTGAGCCTGGGCTGCTCCCTGCCTCCCAGCTGGAGGGCGGGCCGTGCCGGTGGGCTGCAAGGCTCACCTTCTTGCAGAAGTGGTAGAGCTGGAGCAGCGTCTCCAGGTCCGTGCGCTGCCGCTCAGCAGCCATGTAGAAGTGGGTGAGCTTAGCCTGGAAGGTCCGCTGCGTGGAGGCGAAGGCAGCCAGCTCCGGGGGCTCTGTTCCTCCCGCCTCGCGGGCCCCTCCCGCTGAGGCTCCCAGCTGGGCTGCCTGCTTGGACAGCTCCAGGCCTTGCCGGTACTGGGCCTGTGTGGGGAGGGGGGCATCGCTCAGGTCCTGCCTCAGCTGAGGCCTCCCACTGCCCCGCTGCTGAGCGATGAGGTTTCCCGTGCCTCACTTTCCTCATCTATACAACGGGGTCCCAGGCCTTTGCCAAGGCGGCGTACTTCTAGCTGGGACCCTGCTTAGAGTTACCCTCTTCTGGAAAGCTTCCCGGCCCCAGAGTCTTCGGGTCCCCACAGTCTCCCCTTCCTGTCTGTTTCCCTGTTTGGCCCCACCTCCATCCCCCACTGTTCTGGGAGTTCCCCCGAGGGATTCTGAGATGAGTCGGCTTTGGACTTGGTGGTCCCTGAAGCTTCCGGAGGAGAGAGCATCTAAGCTGAACCCGTTATGACCCAAGCCCGTCTCCTCACCGCTTCCGGAAGTCTTCTCGCACTTGCCCACCTCCACACCTTGGCCCTGGCGCGCCGCCCCCTCCCGCCCTCTCTGCGTCTGCTCCAGTCCTGCCCCTCGGTTTTAGGGACTCACTGCAGCCTGCAGGAAGAAGTCCTCAAATTCCAGGTGGGCTTTCTGCACTGTCTCCAGGCTCCCGTCCTTGGGGGTCAGCGCTTGCAGGCGCCGGCTTCCTTCCTGCTCCATCCAGTTGCTGACCTGGGGAGGGGAGGGAGGTTTGGACACGAGGGGCTCAAGTCCTGGCACCAGAGCAAGTGCCTGGCTGGGGCAGGGCCTGGAGCAGAAGCCCCCCCCCCCCATGTTCCAGGCCGCCTCCCCTTTCACCTGGTGGATGGCAGCTTCCAGGCGGCCCATGCGGACGCGGAGCTTCGAGCCTCCCCAGGAGGTGATTAGATGTGGTGACCAGGACATGCAGCTGTTCGTCCACGAGGCTATAGAGGGCAGTGGCTTCAGCCAGATGGCTCCTGGGAGGCAGTGAGGGTGAGAGAAGGCCCAAGATGTGCCCCCACCCCAATACTCCTGCCCAGTATAGGCCTGCCTCACCCCCCATCTTCCAGCGAGTCTGTGGCCCAGACCTGGGTATTCTAGCTGCTGATTTGCTGTGTGACCCTGGGCAGGTCCCTACACCTCTCTGGGCCTCAGCTTTGGTCTACATGGGACTGGAAGGACCGTCAAACACAGCAGGACACCAAATGACACTCCCTTACCTAGGAGGGTATGACCCAAACTGAACAGATCTGGGTTCAAGTCCCAGCCCTGCTACCTTCTAGTCATGGGACCTAGTGCAAATTTCTCAACCTTTCTGTGCCTCTGTTTTTTCATCTCTCAAAAGTGGAGATGACAGACTCCACTTCACAGACTGCTTGCAAGGGTTAGATAATCTAACTCCTGGACTCTCAACCCTGGCTACATATTAGAACCTGCCCTGGGCGCTTAAAAAATCTCCATGCCCAGGCCCATCCCAGGCCAACAGAGTCAGGTCTGAATGCAGCCTGGACCCCAGTGCTCCCTAAACCTCCCCAGGAGCCAGGCCTGAGAACCAGCCCTCCTGCATTCAAAGCACTTCACACAGGGCTGGGCATCCAGTGTGTGCTGGCACTTGTTATTTCTGTTGCAGTGATAGTGAGTAGCTGTAACATCCCCTCACCAGTCTCCATTTTACAGATGGGAAAACTGAGGTCCAGAGAGAGGAACTGACTCTCGGGTATGGCAGTCTGAATTGGAACCCAGTCCATGGCTTTTTCTGAACATTATTTTTTAAAACGGTCAAAGCCAGGAATACATAAATGGGTTGTGGACGGGACCCAGGCGTGGTAACACTTGCGTAAAGGGAGGCTTTTCAAATCCCACCCACCCTCCTCTGCTCGTGGGTGGTGGTGGGGTGGGGGCGTGGGAGGGTGTCTTACTTCAGAAGGAAAAGGAAAACGGGGAGATGGGATGGAAGGAACAACTGCTTGTTTCGCTCTGGCCTCCCCATCTGACTGATACTCCTCACGGGTCCTGGCCCTTCCAGGTGAGGGCCCAGGCTGCGTGAACCTGATGGAAAATGCCAGCTTGCCTGGTGGAGGGAGGGGGAGAGGGGAGGGTGGGAGCTGCAGGGACCCAGCAGCCGAACAAACACGCACAGCGGCTCACACGGGACCACAGCGCCCCCTGGTGGACCGGCCAGTGGTCAACGGCCTGGAGGGGCTTCTGGTGACAATAGGGGCCTGGCGCTCAGCCAGGGAGATGGGCTATTCTGGGAATCACAGCCCCACCAGGCCACGTGAGGGGCAGGGTGAGGACTCCACACCTGGTACCAGGGCCCTGCTGCCCAGTGCGCATATCAGCATGACTTTGCCTGTGGCACAGCTCAGGGTGGTGTGTTCAAATTTCTGGGCCAAGTTGCCTGGGCTCAAGTCCTGGCCCCACCACATCCCAGCTCTGTGACCCTGGGCAAGTCGCTTAGCCTCTCTGAGCCTCAGGCCCCTCCACTGTAAAATGAGAATACTGCTAGGTTCACCACATGGGTGGGAATTAGACTAGTTACTATTTGTAAAGCCTTTAAAACAATATTGTGCTCATACTAAGTGCTATTTAGGTGCTGGTTAAATAAACAAATTGTCCTTGAGTTTATGAGACTTTGTGTTTTAACAGAGATAAAGAAATTTCCAATTACGGACTGATTTAATTACTGATTTGCCCCTATACCACCCCTAAATTTAAGAAAATTGGTACTTTCTAGGAATTGCTTTTGCTGTGGCTCTGAGACCTCACACACCGTGAGGTTCTCCTAGCCAGGCTCAGCTCAGTGTCTGGGTGAGAGAAAGTGCCTGGTCCATGAGTGTGACCGGAAACAGGCAGGGCTGTCCTCCAATGCCCACCCCCGTCTGAAGATGACTGGGGCTGAAGGAGGGCAGCAGAGAAGGGACAGGATATGGGCCCTGCACACATCCCTATCCTGGGCACATCCCTATCCTGGGCATCTGCAGGGCCCACCCTATGTGTCCCCAGCTCCAAACTCCCATCCAGGAATCAGGTGGGGTGGGAGAGGAAAAGATGGGCGTCCGTACCTAACATCTGGGTTGAAGTCCAGTCTGCTGGCCTCCTGCTGCAGCCTGGCCAGGGTGGCTCCGCCTTCCCGCTGGAGGCCCAGCAGAACTGGGTCCCTCAGCACAGCCTCCATCAGCTCCTTGGACTTGTTCAGACACCTGGAGGCCTCCTGCCAGTGTAGGGAGATGGCCTGAGACCCAGTCCCCACTCTCCCTCTACCACCTTCCAGGGCTCCCCACACCCTGACCATGCCCAACTCCCCCAGTTTGGCATACAAAGTCATACAGAAAGTCTATCCTTTATCTCTAAAACATCTCCTCAGGCCACTCTTCTCATTGCCATGGCAAGCTCACTGGTCCAAGTGCCATCATCTCTTGTTGGCACACCCATCCCAGCCTCCTCACTGGTCTTCCTGTTACACTCTGGCTCCCCCTGCAGTCTATTCTCTACATGGCAGCTGGAAGGATCTCGGTGCAAATTTAAACATCCTTCTGCTTAAATTCTCCAGTGGCTTCCCTGCCTGCTTAGAAGGACATCCCAATCCAACTCCTCTTTGATCCAGCCTCTATCCAGAAGATCTTCTAGTTCCCCCCCACCCCCCACCCCCAAATCATTCTGTTCCACACCGGCCTCCATGCTATTCCTGAACGGATCAAGCATAATCCCACCTCAGGGCCTTTGCACATGCATGCCCTCCACCTGGAACCCAATCCCCCTCCTATTCCCATGCAGGCTCCTTCTCATCCTTCAGGTCTGAATTTAAATACCATCTCCCTCCTTCCCCATTATTTTCAATCTTATTTTCATAGCAGTTGGCATAATTTGTAACTACATGTCCATTTCTTTGTTCACTTTTTAACAACTACCTCTACCGCTGTACCATGCACCCCATGAGGGCGGGACAAATCGGTTTGCCCAGGCTGGGTCTCTGGGTGCACATAGTGAGTACCCAGTAAATATAAGTCAAATGAATGAATGAAAAACAGGGATGAGCCCAGCCAGCATGGCTCAGTGATTGAGCATCGACCTATGAACCAGGAGGTCATGGTTCAATTCCTGGTCAGGGCACATGCCCGAGTTGTGGGCTCAATCCCCAGTAGGGGACATGCAGGAGGTAGCTGATTAATGATTCTCTCTCATCATTGATGTTTTTATCTTCCTCTCCCTCTCCCTTTCTCTCTGAAATCAATAAAAATATTTATTTATTTTTAAAGTAAAACAGGGATGATCATGCCCAGCTGGCTGTTCCCTTCATTGGGTCCTTGGTCTGAGGAATCTTAGGGGTGGTGAGAGTTTGCCACCCACTCCCCTGGCTCACCTGTGCCCCTCCAGGGGAGTCACCCTTCTCAAACTCCTTGATGGATGCCTGTAGCAGGGAGGAGGCCTGGCGGAGGTCAGCAAGGAAAGGGTCTGACTTCTGCAGGACAGAAGTGGGGGTGTCAGCCTGAGCCAGTAAGGAGGGTACCTCCCCCACCCAGGAAAACACAGCAGGGGCCTGAGGTGGTGGTTCTCAAACTACAGCTGCATCAGAACCACTGGAGAGCTCGTTAGTATCCATGCTGCCGGGCCCCCTCCTGTGTTTCTGACCTAGTTCCCCGGGGTGGGGCCTGAGAACATGAATTTGCAACAAGTTCCCAGGTGATGCTGACACTGCTGGTCCAGGGACCACACTTTGAGAACCACTGGTGCTGGGAATGAGAGAGGGAGAAGAAAGACAGGTCTGCACTGTCCCAGGCCAGTGGGGATACCTTGGGGGAGGGGAAGGCAGGGGGGATGGGAGGACAGGGGGAAGGGGGACATCCTCTGCTGGGTCCCACTTCAGCCCAGCTCCACCACTTACTCGCTGTGAGGCCTTGGGCAAGTTACTTAACCTCTCTGTGCTTCCGCTTCTTCCTCTGTAAAATGGGATCACAGTAATTCCTGCCTTATAGGCTGCTGTGAGGATCAAACAGTGTTAGTCTTCCTCTTTACCAGTTTTCTATCCTAGGACTATAGGTAAGATTTCATTTAAAGGGAAGGTTTTAAAACAAAAATGTAGTTTGAAAGTCACTCGATTAATTGGAGAAGGGAACTGGGGCCCAGGGGACACTAGGGAAGGAGATTTTTCAGTACCCTGTGCCCCACTTGAATTTTGAACGTGCTGCCTATTTTTAAACAGACGTGATTTTTAAAAGAAGAGGACCGCATTGTAAGCTGTTTGTATAGACCAGTGGCTCTCAGTGGGGAGTAATTTTGCCCCCTCGGCGACATTGGCAATGCCTGGAAACATTTTGGTTGTCATGGTCAAAGTGGGCAGAGGCCAGGGATGGTGCTAGTCATGCTACAATGCACAAGCCAGCTCTCAACAAAAAAATGATCCGGCCCCAAAGGTGGACGGCGCTGAGATCGAGCCGCCCTGGTCTAGAGAACGCCCCGGCGGACACTGCCGGGCGGGGTTCCAATGTGGCTTACGCCGGTAATCTTCTGCGTACTGCTGTGTGAGCCACCCGTCCGGGGTGTTAATTTGGGCCAGAGAAGTTGAGCTCACACGGGAAAGGAACCCCTTGCTGGCGGTTTCCTTATTTCCTCCCTCTTACAAGAGTGAACACGTCTGCCTTCCCCATCAGACCCTGAGCTCCCGGGTTGTGTGGGTCCACAGAGCAGACGTCTGTATTTCTTTTCAGTTGACACAGACAGCTCTTAGCATGTGCCAGACATTCTTCTAAACTCCTTACCCCCATTAACTCATTTACTGCTCACAACAACCCCCAACTCTGATTACCCGCCCCATTTTATAGATGAGGAAGTGGGCTCAGAGAAGGTATATAAGTTACCCAAGGTCACACAGCCGTACTGGGATTGGAACCCAGGCAGTCGGGCCCCAGAGCCTGAGCTCTCAATCACTCCACGCTGCACCTCCATTTTAAACTTTTGTTGAATGACTAGTTTTGAACCTGACAGTGTGGATGGATCCATGGGCAGGATAGTGAAGGGAGGAAGGGAAGGCGTGAGGGTACAGGACTAAAGGCTGTGACGGTAGACACCTGGAAGAATTGCACCCACTCGCTGTGGCAGTAGGGGAAGGAGCCTTCCAGGGCTGTGGGCATCTGGCTGGGGTCCACGTGGTGGCTGAGGGCCTTTAAGGAGGTCAGCACCTCCACCTGCAGACAAAAGAAGTGAGTCAGGAGGACCGGGGGCTCAGTGTGGGGACAGATATTTGAGAAGGTCCTGTCCAGATCCCAGCCCCAGCACCATTCCACCTCGCACAGGTGAGTCTGCCCCTGGCTGTAAGAGTTGCTTTCTGGGCAATGGATTTTCTCTGGGAATTCTGAAAAATCAAAATTCAGAACCAGACCCCAGGTGAGGAATAGCAAATAAACAGCATTTGCCATACCCTTCTGCTGCCTTGTGCCCAAGGCAGACATCATTAATCAATCACAGCACTTGCTCCCTCTGAGCTCGGCTCTTGCCCAGCCCAGCTCTCCAGGCAACCACACAAATTGACTGAAGCTGGCCCTAATTTTTTTGTAATCCTGTACCATCCTCTGGTGACCCACCAAGGTGCCGTCTTTTTCTTGAGGCTGTTGCGAAAGGTCACCAAATCCTAGCAGCAACCCCTAAGACATGGAGAAGGGACTAGGTGACTGTTTCTCCCAGGCAGTGCAGTTGGAGGTTTATGCTGGGAACAGCTCCAGACACCTAAGCTTGGGGCTGGGCAGGTGTGTGGTTTGGGGGCCCACTAGTTATTGCTGGTCCTCCAAGTGTGGTCCGCAGACCAGCAGCACCAGCACCACCTGGGAGCATGTTGCAGATGCAGAGTCCCAGGCCCCAAACAGAACGACTTCATTGGAAATTGCACTTGGATAAAATCCACCAGTGACCCGTAAGCACATTAGCTTGGAGAGCATTTCTCTAGCTCACAATGTGCCCGTCACAAACCAGGAGGAAGGGGCCCTTTAACACCATCTCCTGAAGCAGGGCAGAGCACTGTGACTGTGGTACCCGGCACTAGAGAAAGGGAGCTGCCGCGCTCTTTCCTGCAGAGTCCAAATCAACTCTGCCCCTGAGGCTGAGATACTCAGAGAAACTAGGGAGAGAAATACAGGAAAACTGGGAGGAAAGGGCATCTCTGCCTCCAGCTTGCTGTGTGGCCTTGGGCCTCAGTTTCCCCAGGTGCAAAGAAAGTGGGGAGGGTTTGTCTAGATCAGTGGTTCTCAACCTTCCTAATGCCGCAACCTTTTAATACAGTTCCTCATGTTGTGGTGACCCCCAATTTCATTGTTATAAATTGAACATAATTAAAGCATAGTGATTAATCACAAAAACAATATGTAATTATATATGTGTTTTCAGATGGTCTTAGGCAGCCCCTGTGAAAGGGTCGTTAGACCCCCCAAAGGGTCGTGACCCACAGGTTGAGACCGCTGGTCTAGATTAAGCTTCTCAGAAGGTATCCTGCCATGTGCAGCTCTCAATCACGTGGTGGTGCCCACGGGCATTGCTAGGATTGCTAGGGCAGGGCCCAGGAGTGTAGCTCGTGGGCCTTGTATTTTATTTGACCT